GCATTGAGTAGGCAGGTGCAAAAAAAGCAGTAGGCCCCAGTGCATCTCTTATTGTATTGCCAAGTTCTCCTCACTCCTCTGTGCTCTGTTCTTGTGTCTCTGTTCATTTGCTTCACCATCTTCACATGGGCTCAATGCTTTGTACTGATGATTGATACGGGGAACAGCCACTGGCTTACTGATTTTTATTTATTTATTTATTTTTGTCTTAGTTCTGCCCCCGTCCCCTTGCTTTGTCCTTTTCAGCATGCTAACGTTCTGTCTACAATGCTGGTGTAGGCAGACATCACAGTGTAACCACATTTCCTTGAGCACCCTGGGGAAGCTGGCGCAGCTTCTGGCCTCCCAGCCTTGCCCTCGTGCCACCACATGGCTGCATCCACTGCTGCCATTAGCGTGCCTCTGGCAAGATGGATTGGGAGACTTAATGCTGCTTTCTTAGCGTGTTTCACAACAGATTACAGCATTGATTTGAGTATTTGCTTAATGGTTCAGTGTATGATTGTTGCCATATGCTGATGAATGGTTGTGGATTTTAGGAGGGGACAGGGCAAGACGATTGAACTTAATGCAGTGGCAACGCTGGCATGATCTGTGAAATGTGAGTGTGGCCTCGGTCCTCTCAGTAAAGCCAGTGCTGCTTGATGTTCGTGGGTTTGCAGGCTTGGATTCAGAGACGTGTGTTCCCGTTGTTCCAGTTCTAGATTGACATCTGATCTTTGAGGATTTCCTTGCATATCCAGGTACGATTAATAAATCATGGCTGTTTTCACAAGAGTTAATCAGTAGTCTGAGCATCACTGCTGTTGCGTTTGGAAGGTAAAAGTGAAATTGGTAGGTGTGGAAATGCTTTTGAAATGGCAGCAGTCTCTTGAACAACATGTTTTCCTCATGAAATCTCTAAACAATGTTATAATTTCTACCCAAGCAACTGTGCTCTGTTTAATTTTCAGAAATTGGTTTTGTTGTGAGTGGGTGATGACTGTCAGCTGAGATGACATGACCTGCTTTGTAAGAAATACAGTAGAGAAAGTTACTAATCAGTGCTGCCTACATGCTACTATGGGCTTCCAAGTGATTTGTAGTATTAACTCTAGTTGCGTAGCCTGTGATGTAAATTACGTGAAGTACTGACAAAGCAGATCTTTGGGCTGATATCAGATGCTTCCTATGTTAGGAAACAAGGCTGCTGTTAGTATAAACATGAGGAAGGTGGCTTTGCAGCTTTGAGTGGGCTGCCTGCTCTGTTTGTTTGTAGGATTGTGGGAAAAAAACAGCCAAATATATCTATGCTTCAGATTAAGTACGTCAGAATGTGAATCCAGCTTCGGTACTGACTGTACTGCTCCACATGGCACTTGGTGGTCCATTGAGAGGAACCAAATGGATGGCAGTGGGGATAAACAAAGGCAGTAGTCAAATATGCTCTGTATAGACAGGAATATCAGAAGGTAGCGTTTGTCTCAGCAGCCCTGTGCTGTTGCAGGACAGCTGCTTGCAATGAAGAACCGGTGCTGGTAGTACTGCCCTCCTGCCATTTGCAAGCTTTAAAACACTTCACTTTTTCATTCTGCAGCAGTCCTGTGGAAATATTGGCTGGGTCATCCTGCCAGTTGTATGGGGAAGTGAGGAGAAATTTTTGGTTAAGCTGTTGGTTAAAATGATGACTTATGATGACTTACCATGCTTATCAGTAAGGACACTTCTGATGCTGTTGTTAGAACTACTACTTTCTTTGAAGTTGAAATTTGAATAATTGCTGAGCCTTTGAATGCCTGATGTCAGAAAGGGCAACCCAACAAAAAGCAGGACTTCAGACTCTGTGTTTTGATTGCTGAAATTGTTTGCTTTCCTTTCTGCCTCAGACTGTATTTTTGAGGTCTGTCTAGCAAATCCCAGCTTTCATGATGTGTGTGAGACACTTTGGTAGCTGAATGCCACCTGCAGCCACCTCTTGTAATTGCAAAAGCAAAAACAACATATTTTAATTGTACTACGTGCAGCTTGAAGTTGCAGATTCTGTCTCTTGCAAGATTCTCATTTTCATAGGGGAGGGAAGACAAACAGCAGTGGAGGCCTTGGTATGCCTGCGACAGATCAAGTTGTTTGTTCTGACAGTTGTTGTCTTGCTGCAGTCCAGCCATGGTGCAGCATATTGAGATACTAACTGCTGTTTCCTAGGTTCTTTTCCCTCCCTTCCCCAGACCCAGTATACTTGCTGACTTGGACAGCTGCATGAACCTTGGTTGTTGAAATGTAAATTGCCACTTGGAGCTAAAGACTTAGCTGTATGCACTTTAAATGAGTTCAAGCTGGGAAAATGAAACGTTTGTTCCTTCTTTAGCTGCAGGTTTAGAATAGCATGTCAGTAAATTGGTATTCAGACCTATTTACTTCACTTTGTTTGTAACTGTAAGATTCCTAAATGTGGTCTGTAAAACTGGGTGGGTTGAAAATGTCAGTTAGTAAAGCTGAAGCAGGGCATGAGGAAGCAGAACCGTCTGCGTCTTGGGAGCACAAATTGCAAAACTCAGCTTACGTGAATGCCTGGATTACTTCTAAAGAAGTGGTTGCCAGTGGCTGCCCATACTGCAGTGAAGTACAGCTTCCATTATTAAAATGGAAAGGTTGTGCATACTTGGTGTGACGTGGTGTTGGTGTGAGCATTGAAACTAGTTATAAGGTGAACTTCAGAAGGCACAACTTGTGTTCAGTATTTGGTTAAAACTAAATGAGGTTAAAGTTCTGTGCCATGGAAATACCCAGCTCAGGTGTTAGTGATGAATTTCCAGACTCTAGCATGATAAATTTTGCTGTTTTTCTTTGTATAAGAATGCACAACAGCTCCTTTAATCTTTCTGCTGAGTCTGTTGTTTCCCCGAAACCAGTTCATGGTGTGCAGTCAGTGTCTCTTCAGGAGCTGCTGAAGGGAGAAATGTTTCCGTTTTGACTTAAATTCACTCCGTTTCTTGTGCAATTTTCTCAGTTTCTCCTAGTAGCTTTCAAGCAAGCTTTCTGGTTAATAGGCTTCATCAAGTAGTCCTTTACGTAATGGTATCAGAACACGGTGATAACAAAACGCCATTCCTCTTCTGTGTTTGTGCCTCTGATATCTTACTAAGTAAGATACTAGCAAGACTGATAGCAGGCTTTTGAAGGTGTGGCTGTTAACTGTCCTGAAGAATTTTTGGAGTCTCTGGGTGTGATAGCATGTGGAACACAGGCATCTGTTTCCTCGCATCCTCCACCATTGATATGATGAGAGGGCTGACTGATGCTGTGCATACAGCATTGATTTAGGGAAGAGGTAGGAATTGGGATTCAGTGGTAGCAGTTTGATCTTACGGAAAGGTGAAAGATACTGATACAGAAGCTCTATGGCTTTCTCAAGACAGAACTATTGTCATAAACAAAGAATTTAAGTCTGTGAATATCTCATACCTGAAATGTGGCACATGCTGGCTGCGTGTGCTCTCATTCTATCTGGTGAGCTCGTTTGATGCACTGTCCAGAATACACTGTCCTCACCGACCAGTGCTGTGGCACCTCTGCTCAGTGCAGCTCTGGTAGCAGTGCACATCATCTATGCTTTTTTTGACCAATGGCATTTAGCATAAAATCATTACTAAATGTCACCGAGGTCTGATAATTCCTTTTTTTGTATGTGCCATTCATATTAGCTTGGAAGCAATGGAAATTTTAAGTATTTAAATAATACTTGGTGCACCAAGTCATATGGCTTTCCTATGTTTTTCCATCCTTTACTAAAACTATGGAGTATTCTATTATGTAAGTGTTCTCTTTGGATTTTCTGCACTGTTTCTGCATTTCTGTGAACTATCTGCATTTGGTTAGGCTGCAAACCAGTTTGCTCATTGGAACTGGTGAGGACGTGCATGTGTCTGGACCTTGGAGGGGCCCAGTCTGCTCAGGGGGAGCCAAGCTGGCACAGGGAGACCTCTAGAAGGAAAACTGAAACCTACTTGAGATTTCTGTCTGAAATCTCTTGGGTTGAGAATGTCTGTCTGTAGTTCTGTCCTTTCTCTTTCAGTGGAGTTTTTATACACTCAACTGCAGATTGCCATCTAAATGAAGTACATTTCCCTTCTCATAGCTATAGCTAACCTGTGAATGCCAACATTGTCCTTGAAATCTGTTTCTTAGAAGGTGTTGGGAAAATTCCCTAATTGCTTCTCTTGCAAGCACTTCCCAAACATCTTATTGGAAGAAAACAGTGTGTGGAGGACTGAAATCTGAAGCTGCTGCTTGCTGTCTGTTGTAGGCAGTACTTGCTATGTAGTCTATGCAGCTACGCCTCTGAAACTTGGGTGGGTGGCTGCACAGCTTTAGCTTTCACATTAAGAGCTTGCCCTACGTTTTTCTGTACGTGGCCTGTCTGCAGAGGTGGGTTACTTACAGTGCTCTGAAAAGCCTCAGTTCTCTGAAGTGTTTGCTATTCAACCTTATCTCTCCAGTGTATGTTTGGAAGCATGAAAGCAGAACTCTGGAGCACATATTGCTTTTACTCTTAAAAATAAATCCTCTTATAGTGTGCTGTTTTGGTAAAGAAACATTAAAGTACTGAGAAGTCTGAGTGCCTGTTGCATTTAGCAGTATAGGCACTTGGAACATCGTGCTTGCTGGGGTGTTGGTGTGTATTTAGATTTCTGCACAAGTCCACATAGCTGTCCATGTAAATGTAAGGGCTTTGAGAGAGTGACAAGGTTGATGAATGTGAAGCTGCTGATGCAGATATTAGGCTGGTTGTTTAGCCAGTTTCCTTTTTGGATGCTTCTTCCTGTTGCCACATTAGTGTGCTTAAAGAAGATAAGGTTATTAAGCAACAAATACTCAGAAGGTTTGAGGGAAGCACAAGTTTCGAAGTTTCTAAACAGTGTATGGTACAGGTTGCCATAGTTTGTTCTTAGCAGAGTGGAAGAGCAGGAAGCAGAATCTTTTATTCTTAACTATCTTTCACTTTTATTTGTTCTTCTCTGCAGACGCCGTGTGATAGAAGATGCACTATTACCGATATTCTAATGCAGAAGTCAGCTGTTGGTACAAATATCTGCTCTTCAGCTACAACATTGTCTTCTGGGTAAGTACAGAGTGTAGAAATAGGAATAGTTTGGGAACGCTTCATTTTATTGAACTTCCTCCTCATTTGTTTGAGAGTGGACTGCCATCATTAATAGAAACCAGGAGTATGATCTGTAGTGTATGTCCTGTAAGTGCATCCCATTAAACAGGATTAATTACTCTAGAAAAAGATTTAGATACTAGCTCCACATCTTTCTCTTCCTTACCCCTTCCTCCTATCCTACCTTGTGAGTGAAGGTAAATGAGTGAAACAGTTAATTTATTTTTTCAGCGCAAAAGGGAAAGAGCTGCTTTAAGATTTTGTTGAAAGAAAATAGTTTCAGCTGTTGATGATGACATCTTTGAATGATGGAGAGCACTAAACACTGGTGGTGTGAGGGGAAATGTTAGATTTGCCTTTAAGTGCACTGAACTGGTGTGTTAGGCTGCTTCTCTTTTAAATTAGGTGTCTTCACATATATCCTTTCAGATAGTCTTTGATCTTAGTGTTAGAGCAGTGCTGCAATATGTGCAGCATGTTGAAGATTTGCCCCTGTCCCTGGAGGTGTTCAGGGCCAGGTTGGATGGGGCCCTGGGCAGCTTGATCTGGTATTAAATGTGGAGGCTGGTGGCCCTACGTGTGGCAGAGGGGTTGGAGATTACTGATCCTTGAGGTCCCTTCCAAACTCGCCATCCTGTGATTCTGTGATAATTGCAGCACAAATGTTTCAACAGCTGGTGTTACACTGTAGTTTTGCTAAGAATTACAGTGTAGTCAAGGTCTTGAAGGCTTTGCTCCAAGGGCAACAAAATTGCCTATGAATGTCTTGAAATAGTTAGGGACTTCAAAGTAGGCATATGTTTACTTGCCTTAATTTGAAGAGAGTGCAATGACTGAAGTACCTAAACTACCTCTGGAAAGATTGTTATTCAAAGATGAATGCATAGCATTGCATTGGAAATAATTAATATGGAGGTGAAGGCAAAGGTACTGATCAGTTGAAGCTGAAAATTCTTCCCAGAACTTACAGGTCAGAAAAAGGAGTACACATTCACGGAAAGGTGTAGGTAGTTATGATAAAGAGCAGATGCATTAACTTGATGGCACAATGCTAGAATCTTGGGTTTATGTTGTGATTCAGAGTTGAAATGCATGTATGGTATGGGTGGCTTCTTTGAAATAGTTCAGAGTTGTTTTTTTGTTTTTTTTCCAAAGTCAGAAGGGTTAGATAGTAATAATGAAAGAATAGCATGTTGTTGAAACAGCTTGTGCAAGTTGAAAGTACAAGTTGATTTTCTTGATCCTGACTGTCAGACTGTGAAGACTGTGTTCTTTTTGTTCATTGTTGCTATTCATTAAACCAACTAATCTTCTTAGATTGTAAAGTTTAAGGTCCAGGTAATTATAACCTAAATTTGTATTCAGCCGAAATAAATATGTCTGAACATTATCTGCAAACTGCAGGATCTTGTTGGTGTTTGTGAATAATGACTTGGTATTTTGCTTGATTAACTCACATAAAGCTCTGATAAACTGGATTAGCGTTCCTATGTCTTTTGGCTGCTTTTGCAGTGTACAGGATAGAGAATAATCTCTTTGGAAAATGCATGAGTGATGGGCAAAATTAAGTTTTGAGAGAATGATAGAAAAATGTAGTTTTGAGGGATCTTATGGAAATTATCTGGCTTAATCTTCTGTTCAAAGCAAGATGCTTTGTGTGGTGGACCACTGCTCAAAGAGGAGAGCTAGGAGGCTTGTGAGCTGCTTTTCTGCTGTCCTCAGCCAGCCTGAAATTGTTAGAGAGCTCAGGAAAACAGAGACAGAAATGTCTGGATGTTGTTAAATACTACAGAGTTGTTTGCTGCTGTCACTACCTCCTGCTTAGTAGTGCACTGTTTTAGCCTGATTCTGTAGCTTTAAGCAGTAGGGACTTGTGTGTCTAACAGGGCAGAAAGAAGGTGTATGTTTGTGCAGATGTGTTTTTCCAGGGGAGGTTAATTGGCCACAATATTGCTATACAACCAGAGTATGTTGAACATCAGTGGTATTTTCTCTCTCCCCTAGCATTTATGAGTTGCCATTTAAAATGGTTACCGTTTCCATGCGTCATAACTCAGGTCCTTGGGTGCCTCTGTACTTGTTTTTTCCTCTTCTCTGTAGTACAGCTCCTATGATTGTGTAATGGGATGTAGTGTGGTAAAGGGTCATATTTGGCTGTATTCTTCATAGCTCGGATTTTCAGGGAAAGCATTACTGAGTGGACGCTCCAAAGCAGATAGCATGGGGTGTGTGTGAGAAATGAACAGAATTTCTTCTTTTTGTTACTCGTGAGGGTTAGGTGCTAGATGTCTTCCTTTCTAGTGAATGGCTCACAAAGTACTGCTTGTTAGGTAAGCAGCCTATACAAAACAGTTTTGTATCTTGGGAAGACTATTAATAACTTGGTTTCTGCTTTTTCATGATAATTCATTTTTTCCCCTCTATTTTCCTTTAATTCCTTGAATAGTTATTACTTCTCATGTAACCACATATCTTCATTATAATCTTTTGAAGTTATTGATGAAGGTCCAAACTTTTTTCTTTTCCATTAGACTTTTGGAAATATTGATGTAAACTTGAAATACAACTTTGTAGGTTTCGGTTGAGTTTTTTGACTAAGAGCTGGTTTTCTGATTAAGTATTAATAGTCATGGTAGCTCACTCAGTAAATGGTCTGAGGCTTCTGCTGAGAAGTTACCATGTTGATGTGGTATAATTACAACTCTTTTGGTAAAACAGCTTTGGTTGTAGAACAGGATATGTAAAAAAGTTGAGTAGGAGGGTAGGTGCTCCTGTAAGCAAATGAGTGACTTTTAGCTGGCATAGTGGTTCCAAAGACTGTGTTATATCAAGCTGGTTGAAATGGCTAGTCTAATATTTCTTCAATTGAACAAATCAGTGCTGTGTATAACAAAGTAAAAAAAGATAGATTCCTTGGAAACTGGGGGTGCTATAAAACCAGAAGGGAGAGGTAATTTTGTCTTCAAAAATCAGCATTTAAGGAGGCATTGGTATTCTGATTTACATTCCCTAGTTGCAGGACAAATCTGCTTGCTGGAATCAGAGATGTGAATATTCCAACAGCAGGGCTGTTAAGTGATGTGTAAGCAGCACTGCTTACATGCATGAGGTGCAGAGCTGTGCCCAGAAGCCCTGCTGAATCCATTGAGCTGTGACTGAAAGAGATAGTTCTTCTGCTTCTCCTCTGCCAGACAGTTAATGCCTTCTTTCAGGTCTCTCACAACTGTCTGTGCAAGAAAATGAGTTTGGAAATCGATCTCAGCTAAATGTAGCTCTTTGCAACCTATCCTCCCCCCCACCCCCAGTGTATTATTTTTAAATTCTTTCAGTTCCCTGTGAGATTTCTTCAGAATGAGTGTTGCTACTGTAGTGGGTACGAGGGATGGCACCTCAGCTATGTGACTGACTTTGGCCAATTTTAGCTCTTCCTGGAGTATGAAGATAGCTCACCTGTGTCTCAAACCATGGCAGTTTATTCATGAGCCAGATAATTTGCATGTAAATAAATAGAAGTTGCTTTTGTTCTTCTTAATAAATACTTAATATTTATCCTTAATATAGTTGCAGTTAACTTAATATAGTTATACTTAATAAAGTTGCAGTCACTTGTTGACCTTCTTGTTGTAGTTCTGAAGGTAACTGACTCGGTGAACTTAAAAATATATAGTGTCTTACAGAATACACAAACTTCTCAGTATGTTGTCAGGTTCTCATGTTATACATTCAGTTCATGTAAATTGGGGCAAAATATTGAACTTAGAGGAGGAAAATGCAGTTCTGTTGCAGTCTCACAGCTTAAGCAATTTCTAGAAATAAGTAGTTCTGCATTCCTTGGAATTTTTTTAAAAAGACAACTCAACTGTAGAAGCTTCAATTCTGCTAACCTTAAGCTGTGCATGACTAACTTGCAGTCATTTTTCTGTTCTTTGTGCTTGGCTTTTCCTTTAAGAGGTGGGACGGAGTCATAGGAATGCTTGTCTTAGGCACAATTTTAATATGAGTTTCCTTTGTTTTCTTAACTTTTAAGCATGCTATTAAGATCAAGCTTCTCCAGGTATACTCATTTAATGAGCAGAGAAGAGGCAGTAATGCAACCATCAGGACAGAGCCCTGCAGTGAGTGCTTGGGAGTGAAATCACCTATACAGCAAGACTGGATCTCGTGTTGACTTTCAGAGCTGCTTTTTGAGTCTACATCTCTTACCCCCCACTCTGATAGCTTCATCCAGTGTAATGAAATAAAGAAGTTGCAATAGCATCAGAGGAAGGGCTTGGTTCTGGCATCTTGCTGTGCTGATTCATTCCACACTTGGGTTATCCTGTTGTGAAAGCCCCAGAGGAGTCAGCATGGTGGGTGGAGCTTGATGGTGCCCTGTCTTTAGAGTGCTGCTCTGATCTGAGCCTTCAGCTTTTGCTTTATGAAGCCTATGGAATAAAAGTCACCCATCTACTTTGTTTGCTGTTTTGTCTCCAGTTGAAGCCTTCGACGTAGTCCGAGAGTTACACCACAGCTGGGATGTGCCTGTTTCAGTGAAGGATTGCTTGTATAGTCTGCCAAAACCTATCTCAAATTGATAGGAGAGAATAAAGTAGCTTCCAGCTGCTGTCATCTTGATTTTTGTCTTTTAATTCTGTTAGCTTTGTTCAAATGTACTTCTTAAGTGTTTTTAGTTGGGTGCGGGGAGAGAAAAAGGCAGTTTGGACTCCTACTATAGGAGTCTGGTGATTTTGTCCTGAACGTAATGATGAAGGGCAAAATTTCTCTTATGCTCTGGAGTATTCTTCCAAGCTCATTTTTGAGAAGTAAGAGAACTAGTCTAGTATTGGTCTTAGCTTTTGCAGCTTAGGTTGCATTCCAGGAACTCCTGAAACAGCAAGGCTAGGCCAGAAACAGAAAAGAATCCACCACTGGGCTGTTTCCTGACCCCACAGGACGAGTCAGGAAAGAGAGAAGGATAGGAAGGAAAGACTGTAAGCTACTGATTGCTCCAGTGTGGGTAGAGCTATGATGTCAGGGTTTACCAGGGTGTGGAAATTTTTTTCCTTGAGAGTAACATTCTGTGTGTATTGAAACTGAATTCATTGGGAATATATTCCCAGTACTTCTTATCAGAGCTCAAGGCAGGCTGACGCAGTCAATTTGCATGTAAGGGTCCTATTGCAGGAGCTGTGTTCTGCTACAGCCTGGATAGGAAAAAAAAGGCAGTGCTGTGTACTGAGTTCATAGGGCAATCCTCACAGCATAATCTAAGGAGTCCCACTGCTTTGGGGCAGGCACTGCTTATGCTAAGCTGTCATTTGTGCTTGGAACTGGTGCTTTTCAATATCTTTATCACTGAAATAGCATAAGAGATTGAGTGCACCTCTGTGAGTTTGAGGACGACACCAACCGAGGATGCAGTTGACACCGTAGAAGGAAGGGGTAGCATCCAAAGGGACCTGGACAGGCTTGGAAACCAGGCCCTAAACCTGATATTTTTGTTTCTCAAGCAAAATTGTGATAAGTGACTGCTATTTGCTTTCTGTACTTCGGCCACTTCTAGTGAAAATTCTGAATTGCTTAAGACTAAGTTGAGGTAAGTTCTAGATTTATCTGTTTAGACTCTGCTAAGGCTAAGTTTGAGTGTTTTTATTTTGGTGTTTTTTTTTTTTGTTTTTTTGTTTTTTTGGTTTTTTTTTTTTCCAGTAAACTCAACTTTTCTTGCAACTAGTTTGCCTTAATGGTCACAAATAATTTTGCAAAAGTAGTGGTTTGTGGGACTGAACATTCTGTATCAACAAATAAGAGCAGTGTTCGTGTTGACAGATGAGAATGAGTCAAGCTAATTAGAATGTACTTTAAAAGATACATAAGAATCTATTCCAGTTTAATTAGGATGGTAATTATAATGGAAGACAGCCAGTCTGCAAAGGACACCTGTTAAACAACATATGGAAATTTAACCTGCTTAGTGCTTCTTTGCTTATTTGTAACTCCTCCTGTACTGGATTAGTATCTTCCTGCATTGGGAGTGGATTTGTTTAGTTCACCTCTCTTCTTCACTGCCAATATATGACATGATGCATGCATGGATACAGCTCCTTCATCATGTCAGTAATTTAGATAGGATGACATGAAGAACACTTGTAGCTCTTCTGGCTTTATCTGAGTGCGATTTCAGAGCCTGGGGACCATGAACCCAGCAATACATCAAATCTACATGGATTTCCTTGGGTGAATGTAACAAAGTCTCATTTTTGCTTCTTGTCTGTGCTACAGGGAATTGCCTGTAATGCCTGTTTAGTTACTGGAAGGTGCTGCATTTCCTGGCAGAAAGGATCCCTGTTTGAGGGTTGTTTTGGAGTGCTGGAATTTACTTCTTAATGTGCACGTAGGCTTTGGGTGGGAGTGAAACAACCTCTTCCATATGGCTAAGGTAGACTTGTTCACAGCTGTAACAAGCTAGAATGTCATTTTAAGCATTAGGGTGTGTGTAGTGTTTTGTGCATATGTGGAGGCAGGGGAGTAGTAACCTTGTCTAGAGAAGTAATTTTAGCTTGATTATTCCAAGTAGATGTTGGAGGCAAACAGCCTGAGGATAGTAAATAAAGGACACAGGGTTTCATACTTCATGTGAGTGCAGTTGAGAAGTATTTACTATGCCAGCATTAGAATTAGTGTGGAGTTTGTCTGTTGTGCGCTATATTTGCTACTTGTTGAAGGTAAAAAGATGGACTAGCTAAATTCAAAGGACTTGAAAAAAGGTGAAGTGTTAGAAGAGAAGTTGTGTCTAATTAGGGAAGAAACTCATCTGACTCTTGCCACTGAGGTTATGAGAAGTTAAGCATGGCTACAGTCTGGGGTTGGCAATAGGTAATAACTAGAAAGTGAACTAGTGAAATAAATCTTTTGGAATCTAGTATGTGCTTCTCAAATAAATGCGAGTAGTGAAATTCTAAAGACCGCTGAAAGAAGTTCTCACAGTGCAGAAATTGAATAGAATAGAAGTGGTGCAGATTCTCTTTCATTGAATTTGACTCATAAGGAAGAATGTTCCATGAATGTTATCTTGGACAGCAGACAATGTTTACTCAAGGATAGTGCTACTGGCTAAGTGTTTGAGAATGCATTTTCTCGCTGATAAGTGTATCTAATTTTTTTTTTAATTATTATTTTTTTTTAGCTAGCTGGCATGGCATTCCTTGCAGCTGGACTGTGGGCATGGAGTGAAAAGGTAAGGGTAAAATGACTGGTATTACATTGTTTGGTGGCTGCCCTCTCCTGCCCTAGTGAAACAATTGATTTCCTCTGGAAGCAGTGGAGTTTAAATGTAGGACCTGGACTCAGGACCACGTTCAGATCTTCTAAATAGAAAGTAGTTGGAGTTTTATTCTTGCCCATTACTGGATATTAGGCTGTGGCCCTATAAGTTTATACTTCCTTATGGACTTGTAAGAGCAGGGTTTAAGAGAATTAAAAAGAAAATTTCATCTTTATGAGCAGTCCCTATGGGTTGTTTCTCTTTTGAAAGCATTTTTTCTAAAAATATACTTGATTCTAATAAAAGGATGGGGGAAGATTATTAATGTTTGGAAGGAATGAAAAAGATTTCTGTAAAAAGAAAAAAATTAGCATGCATCTGTGAGATCATCTTTATGTAGTGTTCTCATTTTAAGGCCATCTGTTATCCACTTCCTGTGGAGTTACAGACCTGATTCTGTGAACCATAGAGAGGAAGAAAATTGGGGCAGCACGGCCCAACTCAGTTATACTTTCTTGCTTTTGTTTTGCTGAAGTTTCTTTCAGCTGTGTAACTTCCTCAACAGAGGGAAGGCTTTGGGCATGTATGTAATTCACATGTAATTCTATGTAATTCACATCTCACAAGAGACCATATAGGTGTGAAAATGAATGGTTTACCCCACTGTGAATGGTTGTAGAAGCATGGCTCACATTTGACTGCAAGCAGTAAGGAAAAAGTGACAGTGGTTTGCAGACTTATCTGCATTTTAATTGACAGTGCAGGGCACGTGCCTTCACTCTGGAGCCATGCTACTGAGTGGTACATTTTCACTGCCAGGATAGCGTAACGTTTCCATAGAGCCTTTGTATCAATAAACTGACCATATAGTGAGGTTCTGGGTTTTATCTCCTGCTATAAAATGATGTTCTTTCTAATCCTTTATGGAAGGTGTGTTTCAGAAGGTGTCAAGCTTAGCTTTAATTTGTTTTCTGTAATGTTCATATGCTTTTCTCTGCTTCAGACTGTTGTGTAAAGAGGCACATATGATCTCTGTGGTTGGAAATGACTAGCTCAGTTTGCCAAATGACCTTTACGGTACACTAACATTACTGAAAATGAAAGCCTTGCTAAAATAGTTGACTTTTCCTGTCTTTATTTCTTGAATTTTGTCTGAACTGTTTCTACTGTCTGTTCTACAACTAAGAACTTAAAAGGTTTTCCTGAGTTCTTAATCTTCTGAATGACTCTTAAAAAATGCACGTTCTTTTTCTTTTATGTCAGTTGCTTTGTGTGGACATTTTCTTATTAATGCTGTTCTTTTGCAGTAGTGGATGTGTGTCAGTGTGGATCTATTTACAGATAAGTTTCAATGAACAATAGAAGGGAAGTAAAAGAAAAACACTCTAAAATTTGCAGTGGTCAACCCAAAGGGAAACTAAAGGTAGTACAGAAGAGTTTTAAACATCCTGTCTCTTAGTGCAGCATGAAGTACATCGATCTTTTTAACTTCTTTGTTGTGTTTTTTTTTTTTTTTTTTGTCATCAACTTTTCCATTACGAGTTTGATTCCTGAGTGTTCTTTTTATCTGGAGGTAAATGCTGTGTATCTCTGTGAGCTGATAACATCTCAATTTTGTGTCAAGTGTTGAAAGTAACTTATATATATATTTAAAAAAAAAAAAAAAAAAAAAAGTTACCCACGCTGGCATACATTATCATGCTTATGAGTCAAATACAGCATTTTTTTTTTATCTAACTGGGCTACACTTATGATCTCTTAAGTGGTTCTTGTTATTTCAAGCAGTCATGTAGAAGTTGTTGCATAACATGTTAAGTTTACATTAATAAAGGCTGGATTCAAGTTAACATGTAGCCTGAGAGGTATTACAGAAGTCATCAAAAAAAAAAATGACTATAGGATTTAGGTATTAGAAACAAGATAAGCCTGAGTCATCATGTCAAAAAAAACTGGCATCAGTACAAGCTGAGTACTGATGCCAGTTCTAGGCCTTTCTAGGCTCACTGCCTAGAAAGCAGGTTTGGGAGTTAAAACATTGGCCTCCTGTCAGTCATTCAGCTGAATATCAACAGTGTACCTTCAGGTCTAAGGCAGCCTTCTGCCTGCTGGGCTGTGTTAGCACTTGTGTGACCAGTGGCTGGGGAAGGAGATTATTCCAACAGTATTCTTCATTCTGGAGGCTGTATCTGGGGCAGGAATGAAGGGAAGGTAGAGCTACCTGCTTGTTGAAAGAAATTTCCATATTTTTTCAAACAAATAACAATTCCACAAATCCAATTTGATGGCATTTCTTAACTCATCAGTGATATATTAAATTGCTGATTTTTGGTGGGGAGAGAGGGGTAAGTCTTAATAGCATCCTTCCATAGTCACTGGCAGAAGCATCCTTAGATGAATAAGGTGGGATGAAATAGTCCCTTGAATTGAATTGCTTATGACTGACCTCCTTCCTTCAGGATTTTTTACTTGGCATATTTAGACTGAGAATCTCCACACTAACAAGAGAACGTTGTAAATTTCAAATGTGAACGTGAAGAGACTGTTTTGAACCTAGGGTCAATAATAGACCCTAGTTCCTGTCTTATTGTCACAGTGTGCTTTGATCGGTGGAAGTTCTCTTCCAAGAGACGTCTGAGGAAAGCTTGAGTTCGGATGTGGGAAGTGGATAGCCAGAAACAGCTTTGAAACTTTCAGCATCCTGTTTGTATTGTGATTAGTTCCATAGCTTATTGCTTGCACAAGGATGCTGACTTAGTCTTGATGTGACTTCCCTGTTCGTAATGTCTGAGGCAAGTGCTTCTGAGGCATGGATGTGATTGATTAGGTAGGACTCAAGTTCACCAGTAGGCCAGATATGATAGTTAGCTTTGAGGCTTCACGGATTGTAAGGATGATAATGTCACTGATTGGACTACTAAGAGTCTTTGCTTCCCAGGACTTTTTGAATGATAGGTAATCTCTAAACTGTGACCACTTCTTAATGGTTTATTTCAGCTCTTAGAGACAAGCAGTGGCAAGGCAATTCTGATTTCTACTATCCAATTACGTTTTTTGTCCCTTCAGTCAGTTTTGATCTTAAAAGAAACAAAACAAGAACACCACATCTCTGCTGTCTTGCTATCACCAAATTAATGGGTCTGACAAGATGTGTTGTGAAAGAAGATCAACTCGTATGTATCATGAGTACATATCATGAATATCTTGAGAATACTATTACTCAGTGTCTTTCCATTAGCTGATGAAGTTTTTCAACGTTAACTTTACCTTTTAATGCTTTATTTCCAAAACACTATTTTTGTTAATTAAGTATGCACTTAAAAAGTGAGAGAATACCTTGGGCAAATTCTCTTTTCCTGATAGATATATTTCAAGTTAATATACATTATTAGTTCTGTTGGCTCCAAATGATGTGGATACTCAGTGGTAGTGTTGAGCTTTTGGCACCATCTGGTGGAAGCTTGTTTGGCAAATAGACATAGGTAGTCTGAAACGTATGACTGCACTAGATTGCTCAGTAAGAGTCTATAGCTTTGAGTTGGCATTAATACTTGCTGGGATAAAGAAAAGTAATTTCATTAACAACCCTTTTGTGATCAAACCTTTCCAAGCGGGTCTCAGTTTGCAAGCTGAAGGATTTGTAACCAATTAATTTGGGATCTTGTAAGAATCATTACAATTCCAAACAGGAAATAAAAAGTGGCTGTAGTGGTCATATTTCTGTTACTCCGTTTTTCAGGGTGTGTTATCTGACCTAACAAAGGTGACTGGTCTTCATGGTCTTGATCCAGTGGTGCTTGTCTTAGTCGTGGGAATCGTGATGTTTACTTTGGGATTTGCTGGCTGTGTGGGAGCTCTGAGAGAAAACATCTGCCTTCTGAAGTTTGTGAGTAACATCATTACATGTGTGAATCAATGTGTATGTGGAAGTATGAAACTATGGGTGAAGGAAAAAGAAAGTAATTTGTGGCGTGCATTTTATTACAGTGCATATGGTGAGCTCAGTCCCTGACAAACTTCTTTAAGGGACAGAAGAATAGATGTAAACTAAAGTATTTTAGCCCTGCGCCTAGAAAAAAAAGGATTTTTTTCATTCATTCTGCTAGTGCAGCAATGTTTTTATGTATTTCAGATTGTAATGTAATTTAATACGTAATAGCATGAAGTGATGTTTCTGAAACACAGCTGAAAGTTACTGAAAGGAGATCATGTTGTGGCTTTGGGCAAACAAAATCGCTTAGGGGCTTAATCTCTTTTAAGTTTTTAGTGGGCAAAAATTGGGCACTTAAATGACTAACTAAAAGATCTGAAACATTTACTTTTGTATTGAGATGTCCTTTATTTAAATTCAGAAACAGTTAAGTAGGGCAAAAGAAATAATTAAAATGAGAACAGCTCACAAAATCCTGTGTTTTGCAGATTCTTATATATTAATATTCCAGCTGCTGTGTGTAATGATTGTAGATTAGTGCTTATTTTCACTTTTGACTTCACATAACCAAAATGGAAAAATAACTCAGCTTCTAGGTTTGGTTTTGTTGGTTGTTTTTTTTTTTTTTTTTTTTTTCTCCATTATATTCTCAATTAGCAGTCACTTCTTTTTATAGTATCTACACTGAGCAAGAGTTTTAACATGTCTTAATCTTTTCCTAATAGAATAGGGAATGCATTCAAAGAGATAAATATCTTCTAATTTGTGACTTTTTCTTCTACAGTTCTGTGGAACGATTGTATTTATATTTCTGTTGGAGCTGGCAGTGGCTGTTCTGGCTGTCTTGTTCCAGGACTGGGTGAGAGACAAAGTCAAGGAGTTCTTTGAGAATAACATTAAGTCCTATCGAGATGATATTGACCTCCAGAACCTCATTGATTCGCTACAGAAAATTGTAAGTACATTACCTGTCATTTTTCCTTTGTTTTCTGGGAGAGTATGTAGTTAAGGAAGTTTTCCTCTTTCAGATTGATCATGGTCTTTAGCTAGTAGTGCCATGTGACAGTTGTGCTGTTCTGTTTCTTTACTGAGAGTGTTAGATATCATAGAATCATAGAATGGCCTGGGTTGAAAAGGACCGCAATGACCATCTGGTTCCAACCCCCTGCTATGTGCAGGGTCACCAACCAGCAGACCAGGCTGCCCAGAGCGGCATCCAGCCTGGCCTTGAATGCCTCCAGGGATGGGGCATCCACAACCTCCTTGGGCAACCTGTTCCAGTGCCTCACCACCCTCTGGGTGAAAAACTTCCTCCTAAGATCTAACCTAAACCTCTCCTGTCTCAGTTTAAGACCATTCCCCCTTGTCCTATCCCTATCCACCCTCGTAAACAGCCATTCCACCTCCTGTTTATACGCTCCCTTTGAGTATTGGAAGGTCACAATGAGATCTCCCCAGAGCCTTCTCTTCTCCAAGCTAAACAAAACATCTGAGATACAGTGGTGTTCTAATTGTGAATGCCTTGACTTTTTCTATTGAAATCATAGAATCATAGTTTCAGCCTGTTCCAGTACCTCACTATTCTAATTTAAAATTGTTTCCCCTTGTCCTATTGCAATAGACTCTGCTAAGGAGTCCGAACTCTTCGTTCTTAGAGCCTCTTTTTAAATACTGAAAGGCTGCTATCAGGTCTTCCACGAACTTTCCCGTCTCCATTAGTTTTTGTGGGGCATGCTCTTTCAGATCCACATCTTTTCTGTACTGAGGACTCCGTGTCTGGATGCAGTATTCCAGGAGAGATCTCACCAGTGCAGGGTAGAGGGGCAGGATCACCTCCTTCGACCTGTTGACCACACTTGTTTTGGTGCAGTCCAGGATTAAGTTGGCTTTCTGGGCTACAAGGGCACATTGCTGTCTTATGTCCAGCTTAATATTCACAGGTCCCCTCAGGTCCTTTTCAGCAGGGCTATGCTCCATCCTTAAACATCCTGTACTGATACTGGGAGTTACCTATGACCTAGGTGCAAGACCTTGCACTTGGTTTTGTTGAGTCTCGTGAGGTTCACCTAGGCTTGCTGTTCAACCTGTCTAGGTCTCTTTGAACTGCATCCCATCCCTCACGTGTGTTGACTGCACCACACAGCTTAGTATCGTCTGGAAACTTGGTGAGGATGCACTCGTTCCCACTGTCAGTGTCACTGATGTTCAAGGTCACTGATCCAAGTACTGACCTCTGAGGATGCCACTTGCTCAGTGATCTCTATCTGAACATTGAGCCATTGATCACCGCTCTCTGGGTACAATCTTACAACCAGTTCTACATCCATCTAACAGTCGACCCACCAAATCTGTATCTTTCCAAATTGGAGGGAAGGATATCATGGGGGACTGTGTCAAAGGCCTTATGAAGTCCAGATAGATGACATCAGTAGTTCTTCTTTTGTCCTCTGCTACAATTATGTTGCCATAAAAAAAAAAAGATACTTTATCAGGTAGGACATGCCCTTGATGAAGCCACGCTTCTGAGAAGCGTCTCATCTGAAAGCAAAAAAGATTTTAAACTGTGGAAAGCTATTCTGTAGGTACTCAAGGAAGCCTGAAATAGTTGTATGCTCTTTTTGTCCTAAAATACTTAGTTGCTAGGAGAGGAGATTGCAAGGCCCGTTGCTAATAAGGGCTTGGTGGCTTTCAGTTAGATTATTTTGCATTCACACTCTAGAAACAATCAGTGAGGGTGATTTTTCTGATTTTTTTAAATTTATGTCTGCATGTATGGAGAGAAATTGAGGAAGTACTTCACAAAGAGGTAAAACATTTCTTTTTTTTTTTTTGTAAAAGGTCACTTTTCTGTCTGTCTCCTATATTTTAGAAGATCATGCTTAAAAATCTGTGTTTACAGTTCACTTTGATAGCAAAACATGTTTTTATACTGTATACTATATGGACTGTTGTATATTACCAGCAGCTGTACATATTTGGTTATTTCACTCATGTGTTAACATAGTATGTGAAGCAGTCCTCTGACTTAAGCTGCCTGGATGGTTTTCAGTACTGCTTTCTTTGGTGTTTGGTACTAAGGGCAGCTTCTTGTAAGGTGATGCTGCTCCTAGCTGCTTCAAACATCAGTAACGTTAGAGATGCTAGGAAACTTCATGAGGTACCAGGAAAGTGTGTAATAAACCATTTTAAGTACACAAATTGTAGCACAGGTCAGTGAACTGCAAAACATAACTTAATGAGAAACCAACTTTCACCTCTTCTAAAACTTGAAAATTCTTTGAAATGTTTGGATTTCCCTGATCTGTATTTATGAAATTTACATTGCACTGTTTAGGTCAAGAAACTTAATGCGAAACAATCATAGAGCTGACTGACCTTCAAATGAATAAGGCTATGTCAGTTAATTCACATGGGTATGAAAATTTTCTCATTTGAAAGAAAATAAGTATATTCACAGATGTTTTGATCCATTTTTCAGGGTGAACAAAGGGGGAAAAACTGATTGTTTCGTGAAGACTTAAAAGTGAAATCACAAAGTTAAAGAAATAGTTTTCCATATTTCTTTTGGATTTGGCTAACATGGATAACATCGGGTGGTTACATTTCAAGTGACAGTTTTTATGATGCTTCCAGTTGTGTTAGCATCTATTTCCAAGAACATTATGCCAAATGGTGCTTTTTTTTCCTTTGTTTTGTAGAGATGCTGTATTGATTATTCAGTTTGTTTTACTCTTGTGTTGCCATCGATTCCTTACAACCATAAGGAATATACGACGTATAGGAAAGTTGAGCAAATATTATTCCAGAGAGCTATTCAGTGAATACATTATCTATAAAATATCCCCACATAGCAGGTGTTTATCTCTTGCAGAACCATTGCTGTGGTGCCCAAGGCCCGGATGACTGGGATTTCAACATATACTTCAACTGCAGCAGTGAAAGCAAAAGTCGTGAGAAATGTGGTGTTCCATTCTCCTGTTGTATACCTGATCCTGCTGTAAGTTGTTTCCTGGTTTGGTATCCTTCTGTTATTGAAGAGTTACGACAGGAAGTACTTCCTGAATATGGTGTGACACATAGGGCTTAAAGAAGTCTTCTAAATATCAAAAATTATTATTAATGGCCAAATTCTCTTTTTGTTACTGCTCTGTTCTTTCTAGAGGATAGAATAGATGTGTCAGCCTCTTATATGGCTGAAAATGTATTGCTTGTCATTAGGAATTCAGAAGGTGTTTTTACGTGATTGAAGTCTGTGAACATTGGCTGTTGATACTGTTTTATTCCCCAGGCCTTGATTTCAAGCTCTGTCATCTACTGTTGAAGCAGCACATGTGCCCCATCTTAGAGCTGCTGTACAGCACCTCTCTGCCTGACAAGTAGGAGTTACTGTCCTTGCTCATGCCTTTGGTTATCAGCAACTGGCTCGTACACAGACTGAGGTGGAAGTGCCTGAGTCAATTCTTGGCTTTTGGCAGTTCTTAGGTACTCAATGGTTAGATCTGCTTATGAAGCTGTAGGAATCTGATCCTTGCAAAGGAAGCAGAAACAGACACAAATTAATGCTGTGTAGTAGTTGTTGCTCAGGTCAACTCGGCAATCCTCATCTAAGGGAGATAACCGTGGTAGGTTGTTTGTAACCTACCTTGGAAGTAAGCCAGGTAAGGCTTTTGATCATGGAGTCAGCCAAAGAAAGATTTTGTCAGGAAAGTATTCCAAGTTCAGATTCTCTGGTAACTCTTATTTTAATTCAGAACTGTGCTATTTCACTGTGGTCTTTTCTGTTGTTGATGTTATACTTGGAGATATTGTTAAATGTAAACTTCTTTAATTTGCCATTCTCTTTTGAGCATTTTGATATAATTCACTACATACTGTGTAAGCAATTCTGTAATTATGCAGTAAATAGGTTTGATTAGTCTCATAGGGAAAGGAAACAAAAGTATCATAAAAGAAGCATCTTTGGAGCATAATACTGTTGTTGGGCTTTGTGGAATTGGAATCTGGAAGGTGTTTGTGGTGTTTGAGACATAACTGGAACTTTTTTTTGTCTACGGTAGTTTTATCTCGAAGCTGGATTATGTGAGACTGATTTATCAACTGTAAAGACACTCTAGTAGCTTGCAGCTATCTATCTGGTACTGGTATTCACGAACAAGGATAACCACATGAAATGATGGAGTAGTAAGGAATATTTTTTTTTTACTACAAAAATCAGTGTGGTACCTTTGTTATCTCAGCGTTTAGGCATTATGTGAAAGAGATAAAATGATATCGATCTTGGAAGTACAGATGTTTTATCTGAAGGCTGTCAGTACAGCTGTTAAATGTCATGTTCAGTAGTCCTTGCTGGATGAAAGCCAACAAGAGAAGCTGGAAACTGTAGTGGAGGATGCTTACTTTCCAATTGACCTTCTGTCCACTTGGACGTTATACCTTTCTGGTGTTCTGATGCTTTGCTATCTTATTTTTACTGAAATGTTCTCTAAAAGAGCTGTTTTGTGCAGTACTGATTTGTTTGTGAATTTAAGACAGAACTTAGTGTGAAAAGAAGCAAGCAGAATTCAACTGATATATTTTTAATCCTTGTTTTTCAGCAAAAAGTTGTGAATACACAGTGTGGCTATGATGTCAGGAAAAAGGTATGGTGCTAGAACCTTTGTCTATCCTGCTTTCTGTGTAGATAATAATAAAAAAGGACAATACTTAAGTCAGCACAGACAGTGCTGCATCCTGCTATTAGTAAAGAATGGCAGAGTTTTTCTTCTGTTCAGAGCTGAGAAAGTGGAAAAAAATAACAGGACAGTTAAAGGAAAATTCCCATTTGAAAAGGGGGCATGACTTCCATTTTGAGTGTCTGTATTAGTTCTAGTATACAATTTCTGAATTCCACTTTCTACTAATTCTGAAGTATTCTAATAATAGGAATTGTAGGAAGATACTAATGTCCTGACCTCCTTTGAGTTAATTTGGGCATGTCTGTGTATTTCTGAAATTGTTTCAAATATTACTACATATCTAACAAATTTTACTATATCCCTTCATATGTGACTTGACTGTTACAATGAACTTGAGCAGAAAAGTGATGTTCTTGAATTCTTCTCATTCAGAGCAAGAATCAGTGGGATGATCAGATATTCATCAAAGGTTGTATCGTTGCTCTGGAAGCTTGGTTGCCTCGAAATATCTACGTTGTTGCAGGTGTCTTCATAGCTATCTCACTGCTACAGGTTAGTTGCTTTTGTTATTGCTTTTTTTTCTTGGGTATGAGGGCAGGGTAACAAAAGCATTTGTAGAGACTTAGGTTGAAGTTGAGGTCGGTTGATTTCCTTATGCCAAAACTATTTTTTTCCAAGAAATGAAGGTCATAATAAAAATATAATTGTAGAGTATATTATGATACATCATAATGATATATTTTACTGTGTATGAACATAACAACGTACTATTCTATTTTTATATAAATATGATGTAATTTTAATATTTCACTATATCAGGTGGAAGAGGAGATCTGGCAGTCTGCTCGGTGTAGATCAGAACTACAGCCTTATAGCACAAACACGGGGAAAAAAAAAAAGCCTGAAATTCCATTTTATTTTTCATGCTAAGACTCCCATTCAGCATACTTCAGCATACTGAGCAAATATACAGCATACTGATCAAGAATAGACAAGCAGAGTAGCTGGTGAAGAAGTTGCAAATATGGTATTAGCGGAACTGTGGTAGAGTTCCTCTGACTTCTTACAGTACCTTTTCTGTGCTTGATGCAACAAAGAGAATGAATCAAGATTCTCAGTAGTACATATCAAATTCCTTCTTTCAAGATGGTTTTCACTTTCATTGTTTGGAACGACTTGACTGACTTCAAATTTTTCTGTTGCTAAAACTGAGTGTTATGAGACCCAAGTAAACTTGGCTAAGTTTCTTCCACCTGTAGGATGTCTAGAGATGGAATATTATTTTGAGCACTTCTGAAGCATTGCATAAATCATCTTTTTCTTATCAGTTATATCTTCTACTAGATTCTGCTGCTTCTTTACTGTTTAGTAATAGCTGTGCTCTAACAGATGATCCTAGCTACAAAGTGGTGTCTGAGCCTACAAATGCTTCATCAATGCATTGTTATTCACAACAGAGTAGTTGCATTGACTGAAGTGCATTGAACATACAAGCTGGTTCTCATTCTGCAATAATGGATAATGGTAATAGGCTCTATGTCTCAGAATCTACTTGCAGACTGGTACATAGCACATATTACATTTCACACTTTTTTTTTGTTCTTTTTTTCTTTTAGATTTTTGGAATTTTCCTAGCCAGGACATTGATTTCTGATATTGAAGCTGTAAAAGCAGGCAATGCCTTCTGAATATAAAATCGAACATATGTTGCAAAAAGTATATCTTACTATTCTTGGTCAGACATGAAAGTGGAAAGAAATGCCCAGACCATGAAATACTCCTGGTATTACCTGCTCATGAGTTTTGCTTCAAGCTGGTACAAAAAAGAATCTGCAGCTCATCCGTCTGCCTTTTTTCTTACGAGACAACTCAGTGCATCAGAACTGAACTCTGGTGAGGAAGAAATGGAAGTTTCCCAAGTTGTCAGAACTGATTTTAAACTTGTAGGAAGGAGCAATGGAACTGCTTTAAGCTCCTTCCTTGAAGAATTACCATGAAGATTGTTTTGATTTTACTCTGAACTATCATCGCTTCCAGTGTTGTAATCTCTTCAGAAGGCCTGCTGATCTCTTAAGAATATTGAAAAGGTTGTAGTCTCTATAGTAGACTCATGCAGTCAGTTGGGCAAGTTGACCACCAACTGTCATCATGGTGGTATTGGAAATGGAAGCAAATATCACAAATTTTCCAGTTCTTTTGTTCTTTGTTGTGCAGAAATAGGGGGTATTTCTCTTTGACCGGGAATGAAGCAGAAGCAGAAACTTATGTTCAGCCTTGGATAGCTTGAGTAACCCAAGCAGTTATGAAAATGCATGAGGGGAAAAGTCTGACTCTATAGTATTATATGTTAGCAATCTCCATTTCAGGCAAGGGAATGTGAATCCCTAGTGCTGTTTCCTGTCTGGAAAAAATGTAAATAGTCTTTATTTATAGAAAAAGGAAAAAACTCTTTAAAAATGTGTAGCTTTTTACTGTTCAGTGCTATTTTTTAAGAAGTGCTGCCCACAGAATTTTGGAAGTGCAGTTTGTTTCAGTAGTTAGCAAGCATGCTAATGCTAGCTTTGGACTTGTTTTCCTTTCCTCTGGTTTCTTTGCTATGCTGATCATTACAAGCCCTAATTGCTAGTATCAAAGTTGATGAAAACATTCAGATTCAGCGTTAATCACTACTGGCCTTTTTTTTTATTATCAGAAAGTCTGCACTTAGTAGAACACTAGCTTTTGAATTTTTTATGAATCTTCTATAAAGTTACTAAATCATCAGTTCTGTTTGTCTTCTAATCCGTGGTTCAAATGCCAATCACAGTGTGCTGATAAGAACCATTTCTTCTTATGGTATCAAACCAAAGTACTTCTACTGAAATAACTTCTGTGGGTTTTTACTGTTTTTACTTTTTCCGGAAGAAAACTGAACTCTTCTTACCATCCTTTTTTTCCTGAAGTTCAGTAAGATGGCCAGTCTTGTCTGAAAGTCTTTGGATTAGGACTGCAGTGGCTGCAGAAGCACAGCCACGCCTGGCATACTATTTTAATCTGTCAAAGATGGATGTATATGGATGAAAACTTCTAGGAAGTAGTTGTTGGTTTTACAGTAGGCTGTATAACTAACAGTGTTTACTGCTTCCAGTGGCACCCATTTTTTCAGGGAGAGCAGATTTTTTTTTTTTTTTTTTTTTTAACAGTGCCTGAGAGTGTAAATTTTAAAGAAGTATATATTTTTCTAATGATATTTTACTACATGTAGTCTGTGTGAAGAACTTGCTAGTTGTATTTCCAAAGCCTATGGCCTTCTTAGGAAACCAAACTCCTAAATCTTTTAATTCCATTTTTGTATTACGCATGTATTAATGAATGTTTCACTGGCAGAAGCTGACTTGCAGTAAGAATCTTTGTGTTGCTTGTCCAGATGTTCTTGTAGCTCTTTACCCTGTGAAACACTTCGCAGGCCATGCTGTACTTCTCATGTATATTTCAATGCAGCTTTATAGTTCTTTTTCTGGCTAGTGATTGAGACAGAAGAGGACAAAGAAGCTTGTCTCAAGTTGGCTGATTTCCTTAGAACAGAGAACAGTCCAATATTATTTGTCTGGAAAACCTGTAAGTAAAATCTATAGAAGTGCACTGTGATACTTCTTTAGCTTCATTATGCAAAAAGGGAAAAATAGCTGTAGATCAATGAAGGAAGGGCAAGATGCATTTCTTCTGCAGAGCCTTGAATTTGTGGTCTGTATTACCTTTTTGTTGAATGTAGTTCATTAGGAGCAGCCAAACATTTGCTGCAGTTACTGCTACTTTGCAAGCAACAAAGCAGTGTTTTGTAACTTTTTGTAACGTTTGCTTTTAACTCTGGTGCTCGAAACTATTACAACCAGCTTGCTCTATTCTGTGTAATAATCTGATGTATATAAGATTGGAGAATACTTCCTGTTGTAACTTTCTGTTTGTAAAACATCATATTGAAAATTGCATCATGGAGTACATTTCACTGTGCCATTTTTTTTGACACAAGGCACGTAGTGCTGGGAAGTTGTTTCAAGAGTTGATGAAAATCATCATGGCTTCAACAAGGTCAATAATGGAGTTCACACACTGAAGTTAGCTGCCACCAAGGGCCTGTTCCATCCATCAGAGTTCCACTGTCTGCAGATCCTTGCCAAGATTCCTGAAGACAAATGAATACTTGATTTCTTTTGGTTTTTCGATATTCTGGTTTGTATGCAAAGCAGAATTTAATCAGTCTTTCTGATTAAAAGTCTTTCTACAGTTTGTTCTTACTGGCCTTGGCCATGTTAACACCAACTTTGTAGTATCAATACTCTTTGGAATCTTTTGGAACTGAGAATCTTTTGGAATCTTTTGGAACTTTTTCAACCTATCTGAGGCTCTTTACATTCATGAACATTTTCTGTTTTCACCATGGATAAACTTCTGTGCATTTATTCAGTAAAATTTTTAAAATCCTGTGGCTGTAGGCTGTTTTACCTCTGAGCATTTAAACCACCACCCTTGATGGTGGTACATGTGGCTACTGTAATTTCAGACTCGGAATGGGAATGCTTTCTTACCATTTTGTACTTACAGTTTTATTTAGCACCTTTTGTATGGACCCACAGTGACTTCATGCCTAACCATTTAGCTTATGGTTTAAACAAGTCTTGTCAGAATAAGCAGTTGAGTGTGAGCCTGCTCTAAAGCCCCGAAGGAGAAGCAAATCAACAGTTTTGCAGGGATAGGTTTGATAAATTGATGATGTTGAGATTTTTATTGGTTGCATTTGGAACAACTCCACAAACACTACGACAAAAGTAAGGTTTTTAATGAAGATATCAAATATGAGTTCAGACTTGAATAACTGGACTGAGCGAAGGGAACTTTTCAACATGTGATCATTTTTATTTATCAGGAATGAGCACAATATATTTCTGTGACGCAATGTATTTATTTCTCAATTGGTTCTGACAACACAACTGCTCTTGTTTCTTATGCGTGTTTGAACACTTAGTTTGTTTACAAAAAGGAGGATGAATATGAGCACAGATGAGAGTGCAGTGACCAAAGAAACATCAGTCACCTCTTAAAAGTCTGAATATTACTTGCCAAGGGGGTCTTTATTTCTGTTGACTCTTGTACAGTGCCATGTGGATAGATTTATACCTCAAGTACATTGAGGGTCATGTGGCAATTGGTTTATATATAGCATTACCTTGCTTTTTTGTCTCTTCACTCTGTCCTTTCCTTTTCCTTCCCATACTGCCTGTGGGTTTTCATGCAGTTTGAATGTTTATCCTGTGTAAGGGGAGATCGTGTCTCTTCTGAGATGGCTTTTCTGAATGACTTTTGGTGTGTGTGTGTGTGTGTGTATATATATATATATAATTTTTTTTTCTCAAGCCTTACATTTGATTAAATAAAATAAATGTTTTGTACTGCTGGAATTTGTTTTCTAAAATTTATTGCTTGCTATCACTACTGCTATTATTATTATCCTCTGTGAGGTAAAGGTGTGCTAATACTTAAGTTTTTTTTTTTTTTTACTCAACATAATTCTTGATTTTTTTTTTTTCCAGTCTTGACTGATGAATTATAGGTGGCCTGTGTGCTTTTCTCTTCACTGTTAATGGAAAGCCATGCAAAAAATGCAAGTTGAAAGTCAGTTCGCAGAGAAACAGTTATGCAATCTGCAGATATTTTTTAAAAAAGAACAAGTTATAAACTGATGTTTGTACTGTGATGACCACTAGTCTAGGTGTCACTTGGTTAATTACTGAGAGTCAGGTTTGTTCTACCTGAGCAATGGTCCTGAAATCATTGAGTGCAGAAGGGAAGTAACCTAACAGGTGTGAACGTGAGGTTTACTTGATAATTTGGTGTGTCTGTATTGACCGTTTTGACTTTAAAACGTTAAAACAAAAACTTGCTTTGAGTTTTAGAAAGATCAGAAACATTTAGCCAATAGATAATGGATTTATTGTTCATTTATCTAGGATAAGTGCTGTAGAATGTTAAGGCTGGATCATTTCCGTTAAAAATGGCAACCTTAGTGTTGGCTGCTTGAGGTGTGTGTGTATATATAGAAGATTAAAAAAAAAAAAAAAAAAAACTTGTAATAATCCTGCTATATTCTGTCTTAATGCTATCAAGTGAATTGTCTGGAGTGGTTTTATGAAGTTCCCTTTCTTATTGGAGAATATCTTAGTGGAGATACCTTTCTGAAATGCCAGTCATCTTCAAATCTTCACCCATGCCCACAACTGACTGGCTTTAATTTGTGTCTTGTCCAATACTGTCTGGACTGCGTATAATTCCAGATTATATTGGTTGTATCTCTGAACACAGGATGACGTTGTCCTCATGTGCTTAGCAGTACAGGTTGTTATATTAGTAGGTAAAAACTCAGATGACTTCTAAAGCAGAAATTAAAAGGAGGAAGAGGAGAGGGAGTTGGTTTGAAGGTACAGCTTTGTGGATGGTTGTGAGATTTCCAGTTAACAACAGGGTACACGGTTACATTCATAACGTGCAGGAGCTGAATTGGTACTGATCAGCCCATTGCTTTGTTTAATCAGTGGCTCACATCTAAACTAAATTTTAATTGTTTTGGGTTGCATGATCCAAGCTTTAGATTTTTATAATAATTTTCAAATCACCATGGTTTTGAAACACTTAATGTAAAAATTGTTACTCTGATTTCAGAATATGATGCAACTTAAATTGCAAAGGTGGTAATTGCCTGTTGGTTCTCACATAAGCAAGAGTGTTTGTAAACATTGACAGAATTTATTCCTACTGCATGTGTTGGTAGCTCAGTGAAGAACAGCAGTAATAAAGATATCTGTAGGTCAAATCATTTTATGTACAGTTTGAAAAGCAGGGGTTGTACCTGGTCTTTAACAGCATCAGTGCAGCAGGATGACAAATGTAAAGTGGCATTGGCAGAGCTGGCATTTTATCACATTTGCTTCAGTAATAGCATTGCTCTGTAGAGGGAACTGCTCAGGACTGCTCTGTAGAAGAAGGGGGGGCTAGTAGGGTGACTCTCCTTTCAAAATCTGCAATGTTAAAAGAGCTTCCTTGACCACATCTGCACTGCTGTGACTGCAGAGCTGTTCGAGTGTTTCTTTAATCTTGTTGTCTTCTATTTCTTGTCTCAGATGGCCTGAATGGGAGAGTAAATGCTAACTTAGTGATGTGCCATGGCACAGCCATTCCCAACAACTTTTGCAATATACGTGTTTGGAGTATTTGCTTTTTAAAATGAGCTGCTTTAGCATAGAATTGTTCACTTGGAAGGGACATTAAAAAGTGATTGAGTCCAAAGGTTAAGGTATGCTATGACTTAGGGCGCATTGTCAAAATGTCTGTTGGACACAGGCACGGGCCATCAGCCACCTTGCTAGGAAGTTGTTTGACCACCTTCAGAGGAAGCAGATTTTTCTTATTAAATATGTTCCTCTCAATGGGTATTTTGTAACCATTTGAAAGTATTTATTCTTATTTTTAAGAGTTTCACTTCAGTTTCTCTCTTTCAAAGCCTGGTTAAACAGCAGAAAAGTATTTTGAAAATATAGTACAAGCTTCACTTCAGTGTTTTTGGTTTTTTTTTTTTTTTGCCTCTGTACTTTGCTAGCCTATCTATATTGGTAAGACTCGATTCTTACTGTTACAGATAAGTCTACAGAATGTTAATGAAATACATCTTTTCAGTTCAGATCTTTTGTGTGAATGATGCATAGTCACACTGAAAGATGTGGGTACTTAGCCCTGAGCCAATTCACTACAGGGAAATATGCGTGCATTGCAAAATCCAGCTTGTCTGCCAAATACAGGGCAATGCCAGGACTTCAGAAGCAGCTCATCTTGTGGCAGATCTTTGGCAAAGCACAGCAATTGCTTTCAGTTTCCATAATTTATGCATAAAGACATAGTGAATTGTGGCATGAGATTTTTAGACTCCTGATTTCAGAATGATTGTTTTAAGCTGACACCATGCTTCCAGGATCAGTCTCTTCTTGCTTGGAAGCTTTTTCAGTCTTCCCTGACCAGAGATAGAGAGAAACTGAAATCATATCCTTCATTTGTTTTACTGAAACTTCCTATACATTCAACTGAGTGCTGATATAAAGGTGCTGTTTTATTTCAGCCTCTGGTTTGCCTGCAGTGTTGACAGAATAAAGGTATGTTGAACTGTGGAAGTGATGTGCAGACTCCATCATTCTTTGAAGACCAAAATGTTATGGTATAGGCAGGGCCTGAGACTGCTAGATGCCAGATTGGTGCATGATGAATTTATTCTAAGGCTCTGGTTTTGCTTATTCAGGAATTGATTCTGCCACAAACAGTGGAATAAAGCTTTTCTTATTTTTTTTTAGCTTAACTAATAGCTTAATCAATTTATCATGAAATAAAACCACGAGTGAGATTTTTAGAGATCAATGAAGACTGAGCCTCTTTATCCTTTACTGTTCACTGATTGCAGTATCACAAGGACGGTACGTTTCAGAAACAGCAAATACTTCAATCACAAACATCCATCTTTGCATCACAAGAGTACTTAAAATGAAGTTACCTGAATTAAGAAGACTGCACAGAAGACTCATTGAATTATATTTCACCTCGGCACTCGTATTATCATCTTGTAGAAGTTTGTGTAAGCTTTGTACTAGCTGCGATTCCTTGAAAGATTCTTCAAGGGTTTCTGAAAAATAAGCAATCAGACACCTCAGCTGAAAAGATGATAGAATGTGAAGATGCTAGCATTTTCATAAAAATAAGATCTCTAACTGGTTTTGTTTAAAAGCAGTTACATAAACAAACATGTCTTGAGGACATTCTCAGTAATGGGGAATTAGCGTCTGATCGGTAGAATTTTTTTCCTCTGGCATCATTCTGGAAGACGTTATCCTACAGATGCTATAAGACAACATTAGATATTAAATTGAGTCTGAGATACTTGGCGATACACTACGCATTAAGATGGGCTGTCTTGCTTTCCTTGTTGGTATAGAAAATTCTAAATTTAGTTGGCCTTCAGTTTCTTCTCATATATGTAGGTTTGTGGTGGTTGTTTTTGTTGTCATAAACTGAGCCCAATTTTTCAAATATGATCAATCATGCAGTTACTGTACAATCTCTTAAAATTCAACTTGCTAATAGTTACAGCATTTATAGTTTTGTAATTTTTCATTTTCAGATTAGGCAGAGCCTTTTTGTCGGTGCTTTTCCTGTACTCCTACATTCAGATAACTGTCTTGTGAAAACTTTCATCCTTTTATAGATTTCAGTGATCATTCAAGTTCATAACCAGCCCCTGTGTCTGCATTTACACCTTTTTTCATCGCTTTCTATATTTTTTTTTTGTAGGGTTTTTAACATGGCATGATACTGAATAAATTGTGCCTGTCCACACAACCTGATTATTTGACTATTTACCTTAAACAAAAAACAGACAAAAAAACCCCAAACATCCAACATCTAAACAATTCCTGAATTCTGTTCTTTCTGTCATTTTCTAGGTGGATAACCTCCTTCGTCTGAGGAGTTCTATCTAGACAGTCGTGCTTTTACTTACAAGTAGAATTTGCAGCTTGGCTGTTGCTTAATAATATGAGGATTCTGCACAGTTTAATACTTTCAGGAGAATAATACCTAAATCAATAGCAGATGCTATTGCCAGGGCGTTCAGAGCCTCGTTCTGCATGGCTTCGTGTTTGCTCATGGTCATGGAAACCAGGTGCTTCACTCCTTGTGCTTCCTGCACTGCTTTGACCACTTCCTGTTAGACAAAAGATGAAAGGACATAGATGGAAATGAGAGCTGTGAGTAGAATGGAAAGGGAAGAGATTGCATTCTTCAGTCTCCAGATAGATGGAAATGATTGGCCTGCTGCAGTATGAGCTGATGGTATGAAAATCAATGTATCGTAGGACTGGAGAAGTCTTTGGAACAAGTCATGCACGTGTGCTTAAGGCTGTTCTAATTTACTTGAAATGTTGGTACACAGAAGTATGTAGAGAGGATGTGTGCATAGATACCTTTGCATGGTCTCTAAGAGTTTCAGCTTGAATCTATTACAGTTTTTCTTTCAAGCCTTCAGACTAGCAGTGGTTTAGTTTTACACTCAAAGCCTATGCAGATAGTCTCTACTTTTTATTCCACAGCTTCAGAGTAAAGCATAGTTGGATGTCTGTACATAATACCATGATTTACAAGAAAGAGAAGCTTGTTCTAATTCGCTAGCAGGTACAGCTCACACTGGATTCATCGTTTTCAACAGACAGACAAGCAAGCTGTTTGGAGCTTGTGAAAGATGTGCAGGATACAGCTGGCTTATATTTATCATTTAAAATAAGTATTTGAAACTTATTTATTTATGGAAATAGAAAGGCGTCACTTAACATTGGTCAAGCCTTAATTTGAGCAGGGTAAAAGTTAACAA